CCCCAAAACCCCAAAACCCCTTCCTTCAAAATGTAAAGAAATAGTTAAGTAAATAAAAATATATCTAAGCTAAGCTTTTAAATTGAATTAAAGTTTTTCTAATAATTAGTTCAAGTTCTAATAAATTAATTGAACCCTGATAACTCTCAATTACTGAGGTTAATTCAATGGTGGCTGCTGCTATAGCCATGGCCAGGAGTTTGATGTCCTGAGAGACCATGAACACTGCGAATATCTGGTCTAAGGGTTTTCATGACTTAGGTGTGATACTCAAACATCTCTTCAACAATCTTCTTAACATTCTTTTTGTTGTTCTGGAAGATGTCTCTCTTGAGTTTGGCAAGCTTTTCATCGACTGACTCTTGGTATTCAGCTAACTCCTCCTCAGCATCTACGGCGAATAAGAGGTATCTCTTGGGAAGACAGAATGAATTTCTCTCTGAAGATGGAACCAAGTAGAGGTTCTCAGAAATGAAAGCAGCCTTCTCTTGATAGCCAGCTTGCTCTCTCTCTTCATTAATTCTAGTGAAAGATTCTGAAATAATGGCAATCAAGAGGTTAAGCATGATAATCAAGTTGAAGATAGTGCAAAGCATGAAGAGAATCCAAATGTATGTGGTGGCAACACTTCCGATATCATCCATTGAGAAATCTCCAAGAGACATTCTGTAGATGTAAATAATGGAACCGATATAACCGCCTCCAATGAATTCAACGTTGTTGGATGTGTTAATATTGTAAATAGCATCACCAAAGGCAATGAAGGTTAAGAGAAGGATAAACAAGAAGTGTCTCATGTCAACAATAACCTCAATGATAATTCTGACTAGATAGCCAGTAGTCTTGAAGATTCTCAAGAAGTAAAGCATTTTAAGCCAGAGCATTAAACTCATGGTTGCTTACATTGAAGCTTCAATGGTAATCCACTCCTCATCTTTTCTATTTCCGAATTTGCCTTGTTAAGCGAAAACGAGGAAGATTAAAAGCATTACAGGTGGGATATAATCCAAGTAATTCCAGAATGACATAAAGTATGAGAACCCTGAAAGTATCATTTGGTAGGTTTCGATGGAGAGGAAGTAAAGTGAAAACACAACAATTGATATTTGTAGTAAGTACGAATACCAAGAATCTTTACTATCTCCTACGTAGATCATACTATGCATTAAAGTCATATATAGTGTGAGATATATCAAGAATGGAATGAATAGCTTGATGAGAGTATATTTGAAGATCAATGGCCATTTGAACTCAATCAATTTCTTGATTCCGTGAGTTTCGAATAGTTTCATATCCTCAGTCTCAGCTAGCTGTTCAAAGAAAGCGATTCCATTTTCAGTGTTGAAATCGTGAAGGCCTGGTACATCTAAGAATGATAGCTTGATATCTTGTTCAATAGGAGCTGGTTAGAGGAGTTGATCGATATCTTATTGAGAATGCCACATCGATGAAGCACAAACGTGATGCTTATTTGTTACTTTCAACATACCCTTTGTAATCTTCTTGATTGAATTAGTTTGTAGAACTCTTGACTCCAAATAAGGAATGAAATTGGGCAGTGAATGCTCAATCATAATATGATACTCATCAGATATAGCTCTTGAATGATGATCAATTGGATAGAGTTGCAAGTACTCCAAGAACATATTGATATATCTGTACTCAGTATTTTCTACACACAAGTGGATGGGTGATTTCTCCTCCATATTCTGCAAGAAGGGAACATGAATGACTAATTCTGGCTTGTCATCCTTGTAATGGGCTAGTCTCATAATCTTTTCTAAGAGTTCCCCTTTATCATGCAATAAGTGAATGATGGTATTTCCACCTGGAAGGATATTGTAGAAAAGATGCTCAACTTATTCAAGATCAATTTGATCAATACTGAGTTTTCCTGACTTGAGTTACTCAATTAAACTCCAATGTAGGAAAGTGAAACTCATGTCGGCAACATATCTGTGTGAACAATTTTCAATTCTGTAATCAATAGAGAAGAGACTTTGGTACAAATGATAAGAGCTGATCTTACCATCAACATCTCTCTTATTTTGGAGATAGTAAGCTGATTTGTATTATTGATATTTTCTTTGAAGTCTCACGAATGTGTCTGATTCCCCAAATGATGGTGAATCTAGGATATAGTGACTCTGCTTTGCTAATTCATCGCTATACAAAGGAATAGCATTGAACTGAATTTCTTAGAAATTATTGCTCACATCTACTAATCTCTCAATACCTTCATTATTAATAACTAGGATAGTTTCCTCATCAACCCATTTGAATCTCTTTGCGACATCTACAAGTTCTTCTCCTTGAGAGCTCATTAATTGTAAAGGAATGTCGCAAATTTTTTCCTCATTATTTAGAGTATCTCTAATTATGAAATGAGTATGTGAGTTATCAATGTCAATATATTTGGTAAAGCCTGGAGAGAAGATGAATGGATACTGAGTAATGTGAAGGAGATCATTTGGGACCTCATTAAACCTGTGTTTAAACATCCAAACAACTTGACCATTATAGTCGTCTTTTCTGATGTAGAGGAACTATCTGTCGTACTTAAGTCTCTCATACATGTAAGTGAGGTCATTGCTGAAGTAAATAAATTGTTGAATATTGTTGTAGAATGGATGAACAAAAGTAAAATGCTCTTTAACTTCTTTTCCAGAGATAATTTCAATCAACTTGAACTCAAAGAATTGCTTTCCTTGCATATCAATGTAGGAAGTTTGACCCTTGATAGCATGATCTCTCGCGTTCTAGTAATATGCTTTCTCGTCAAAATTTGGAACAGGAGTCTTTTTCTTTAGAAGGATTCTGTGATACCATTCTTTTTGATAGACTTGATCAATTTTCTTGTCTTTATCCCACTGATAAACCTCATAATCAGCTAAGTTCTTGTAAACTGGAGCGTTTGTATCAACCATTTTACCAGTAATCATATCCCAAGAGTAAAGCTTTCCTTTAATGCTCAAGGCATATAAGTAGCCATCAATGACCTTTGTTGCAAGGAAATAATTTCTTGGTCTCATTCCAATGAAGTTAATTGTGTTTCTGTGAAGGACTGGAACAACTTCTATTTTCTCGTAGTTAGACTAGAAAACAATTCTTTGGGTTGCTGGACTAAAGTCAATGTATCCCTGACAACCAACTTGTACATCAGTTGATAGAGTGTAAGAGTAATCCTTGTTTTGCTCAATGACATTTTCAATGTCGTAGAGTCTGAAACCTGCTCTCTTAGCATCACTTCTATGAGATAATGTGTAAAGGTAGTTGTTATCAGAGAAGTACATACCAACAGTGTTTTAATTTTCAAAAACTTTGCACTCACCAGTTTCGAGATCAATCTTGTAGAAATTGTGGTAGTCTCCAATGATAAGGTAAAGATGCTCCTTATGTACATGAGTACCTTCTTCTTCATCTTCATGTGCTTTGTGAAGTCTGAACTTAACTCCAGCACCGCATTAGTGCTGAATCTCAGGGATTTTGAACTTTTACTTAAGATGAATTACAGGCTTGAATTCATAGACTTTGACCTCTTCTTGGTGATGATGCTTATGTTTATGCTTGTCGTCATCATCTTAATCTTAATCTTCTTTAATCTCTAGCTTAGCATGCTCTCTTCTCTTACGTTCTTCCATAGGAATATCCTCTTCCATAAGGATTTCGTAGACCTTTACTTTCTTTCCGTATTACATAACAAATTCAGTGAATTCACAAACTGAATATAGGAAGAAAATATTAGTCTTTGATCCAAACTTATGAATCTAGTCAGTCACATCGTATAACTTGTTGTCTGTCAAAGCTATAAGCTTTTTCTCATGCTTTTCAACTTTAATTAAGAACAACACCCATTTGTTGTCTTCAAAGTCGAAGGCTTAATGAGAGATCTTTCCTTTTGGTAAGTCAAGATGTTTATTCTTATCCTCAACCCAGACCTCTTAATCGTCTGTTCTAGCTTAGGCTAATCTTCTGTCAGAATAAATGACCTTAAGGCTATTGTCTGCCAAAAGGATAGTAATCTAAGGAGTTGACCCAAAAGCTGATCTGAAAAGTGCAACGATCTCACTATCGTATCTGAAGTGACTGATCCACACTTAAGAGAGAATACTGAAGATAGAAATCATTTTTCCATGAGCTATACCAAGGACAGTTCCCAATAAATTGAAACTATTGAATAATTTGCCTATTTAATAATGAAATGATTTCAATGTATATATCTTACAATAGTTCTTGATTTTCTAGAAGAAAATGTTTTTCATAGTAAAGTGCTCATCATATTCTGAGTTTTGGAAATTCATTTTGTTTTCCCAATGATAATGGATGGCTCTTACTCTCTCTCTTTTTCCTTGAGCTCTCTCCTTATCTGTCATAAATGGATCTTATTTCATGTCAAGATAGAGTGTATCAAATGTCAGTTCGACATTATTGACAGTAGCTTCTTCACATTGAGATACTCTGAAGGCATTGTAATAGATATCGAATTTGCCAGATTCCTTTTGAGCAACAGCTACCACGAATTAGTTTTTGGCTGCAATAACTGCCTCAAACTTCAGAATTCTATCAGGCTTTGTGTAGTTCTTTTGTTGAATGATCTCTCTGTACTGACTGAGCTCGTATTCGTACTTCTGGTTGGAGTTGAGAGACTAGCTCTTCTTAACTGTTAGGAAACTGTAGTCTACAATAGATTGCACACTCTCAATACATGTAATGATTGATGGGTGAGGCATTTACTTGCCATTTTTGTCAATAAATCTGTGACTCAACATGGCGAGGAGCTTGCAGGGAGTTTGGTTGTTGCCGTGTTCATTCTCAAGCTTGATTTCTAGGATATCCTCTGGATCAACCTCGATACGACCATCACTCTTCTCAAGGTCTACAGCAATATATTTGATTGTGAAATTGTTAGCAATGTAGATAGCGCTGTTTGAATATGTCAGAAATTTGTCTATATGAAGAATTATGGGCAAAGTTTTTACAAGTCTGATCAGAGAAAGTATTTCTGACAAGATGGACCTTTTAATCGTCTGAGAAATCAACAATATGAATGTAATCACTGTCAACATCACCAGCTGCTGGCTGATAGATAAATTGCTTGTATGAGATGGACCAAATTCTAACTTAGTCTAAAGGAATATATATATTAAGTTTCGAAAATACCTTGCAGAGCTCTTTCATAAACTTTTTTGCCTCCTCTTTTCCAGACTTGCAAAAGATACTAAGCGTTGTTATAAGTCTTCCTGATCTCCTCGTGAACAATCTTGACTAAAACTGGGCAATATGGCATTGTTTCGTTGTTGTAGCAGGATGAGTGGAACTGATAGAGGTCTAGAGTTAAATATTAGAGTAAAAATTTTACCAGTCAATCCAATGTAGTAAGTGCATTCTTCTAGGAATTGCTTTGAAGTTTTCATTTCATTGATTTTCTGGAGTTAGGATTACTCTTTGATTCCTTTGAATTCCCCAGAGCCTTTGTGAGCTTAAGAATTTTAAGTTATAGCGGTATCTTAGTCCTCTAAACAAACGAATTAGATTGTATGACTTAGGATATGAAGGATTTACCTGTGTTTAATTTGTTATACATATCTTAGTGATAATGATATTTTATTTTATTAAGCTGCTCAATACTATGAGATATATAATAGTTAAAAATCCTATTTTTCCCAGATAATTTATCTAATACTTCACTTTATCATATTCTGTTCTATTTGTAACTTGAGGGGTTTTGGGGTTTTGGGGTTTTGGGG